AACCCAGCTTTTCCCAAATAAACATGCTCCTTGTGTGCATGTCTCCTATTTATGATTTACTTCCCATTATAAAGCTACAATATACAATATTAAAAATAATACACAGACAGATGTTTATGAGAGGCTGAACAGGGTTTTATTGTACAGACTCTGGTATTTGTGGTTTATATTTCTTTAATCTCTAGTGAAGTGTGGTTCCTCCCGCCCTCCCCAATTTACTGCTTCTGCCCCTTATTATCCTTATAACAGGTGATGGTGCCCTTTAAACACATTTTCTTTCAGGCTCTTACATGCTGCAATATGAGCAGGAGTATGAAGAAGTATGATGACGTACGTAAAATGGCGACTTTAAGCTAAAAATTAGAAATTAGGCCTTTATTCTGGAGAGTTAGGTCCACCCACCTGGAGGGAAAGGGTTCCTTACCTTCCATTTACATGACTTCAGCAGGGTATTTGATCACCCTCTGCTGGCTGAGCTGCTCGGGCAGGTGCCAGTCTGCTGGATTTTGGGAGGGTGCCTTTCTGCTCTGGTGAAGTCCCAGACATCACTCAGGATTTCATTTTGTGCATTTGAACTGTTACTACAGTTTAGTCACGACAGTTTGAAATCACTGGCTGCATATATGGTTTTTTATTTTTTATTCGAATGGATGGAAGAGAATTCTGCCCCTGGGTCAGATAATCATCTCAGACCCGTTAAATAAGCAGCTGTGACATGCATCATAACAGTGGCCTAAACCACCATATTTTTTCAATATGACACTTCGTTGCTTTTTTCCCTTGGCCCGTGGTTGGGCTTACATTCGAAAAACAAACAGCACTTAGCTATAATTAAAAATGCCCTACGGTAAGTGGGATGACAAAACAATGGGAATGCTGTTCATATGGATGAAATCAAGTGTAAATGAAGTCTGAAAGAATTAAGTTGAATACAAGGATAAAATTATCTTGTTGGCTAGGCACAGAAAGTATAAAATAAGCCTTCCCAATACATCAGATCTTGCATTTCACAGTAAAAAACCTGATCAGGGTAGTTTTTTTGTATCATGAGGCAAATACATCTTTTGCTGTAGCAACAGAAACATAACCTTCAATTAAATATTTGAAACTATTTGAAATGTAGTTATATATTAATTGGTAATTGTAGAGTTTTATGCATACAAGCATCTACCTTGGACATGTATGCAATATACTTATTTATACTACTTCCATTCAGTTTCTAAAAATAGGAAATGCTCATAATAGTATTCTTAGTATTTCTTTTTTTTCAAGATAGTCAAGTCCTACCTGGAAGTATGTTTATTAAAATTTTATGTTGAAGAATCACTCTATCATATAGTTTTTTTAAGGCATACTCCAGACATAATTATGAACATAGTAAGACATAATTATAAGTAGGGTTGGTATTTTTCAACCTCCAGTAGCTGTCATCTTGCTTCAGGTTTAGCTCTAGTCAGAGCCTTGCTGACCAACCGACTGATGTTTCACTAATTGCCACTTGAAAATGAAAAGGGAAACTGTCTAGCTTTGAAACATTATTCATGAAAGAAGGATCATGCTGACTTGTTTTCAGAACAGGATCTTTTCCCCCTGTCTTGTCTAGACAGGCCAAGTACATGATTTTGTACTGAAAAGGGCTCTCTGGTGTGTCATTAGGCACGTTGGTTTAGTCTGGACTGGTCTGAATTCCCTGGTCAGAGGGTTTTGAGGTCACTCCTTGTATTTTGGTACAGACCTCTGCAGGTTTATTTCAGTTTGACAAAGCTCTAACATTTGCTTTCTACTACCTCCCTCAACCTGACTTTGATCCATCTTGCTTTACATGGAAGGATTCTTCTCTGGTTTTAGTAAAAGCACACACTGTTTAAATGCATTCACTAAGCAAACTAATTAAAGGTACTGAACTTTTGTTCACAAGTTGCAAATACCAGATCCTAAGTGTATTCTGTGGTCAGAAGTATCTGTATTTTCATTGAATAATCTGTTTAATTAATTTGCCCTATTCCTGCAATACATTTTTTCTTCAAATATTTCTTTCAGACTTCAGCAGAATGCGATTATGCAGACTAAGTCTGGCAACTCTGTGTCCTCCATTAGATATTACATTTTATTAGATTTTGATGTTACTTTTGCAGGTGCATGAGTGAGAAAAAGAGGAAGCCTCACTGATATGCAAGCACTGCTCAGCACTAAACAAAACATTGTTGTGACATCAACACTGTCCTTCAACACTGTCCAGCACTGACTATTTGGATCACAAATCCAAATAGCCACTATGGAGTCCATTGTGAAGAAAGTTAACTCCATCCCAAGCAGGGCCAGTAGAGGATGGCTGCTTCCTTGGCAAATAGATTTGGTGGGAGATCAGAAGGCAACATGATTTTTGACAACACACCCCATTTTCAAATCAACACAGAATTCCTGTGGTATTGTAAGCAATTTTCCAGTCAATGTGGGCACATCAAAAAGGGAGCAAAAGGCCTCTTGGCTCTTTTTTTTAATGTACCTTCACAATGGCTATTTTCACATGTGTGAGGGAATGAGGAAGTAGCCTTAATATTTTACAACAGAAGTTGTTTGAGTCTGCTTTTTGATTCCGTATTTCAGTGTGGTCTGTTGTCTATGACAGACTTGGGTCCCTTTCCCCTAAATCACAATTCCTTTCTTTTGGTTAGTTCTCTTATGATAATGTTAGTTAAACCCCAGAACTTTAAGAGTTTAATATAGCTATGAAAAATGTAATGCTTGGTCTAGTCTTTTGTGTGAAAACCATATAATCTGGTGGCAAACAGACACCTTGAGTTCTTAGCTTTAACTGCTTTTGACTTGACATCTTGCTTGAGCATTTCATGTCAACCATGGAGGAAGCATGGAAAGCACTACCTTAGGACTCAACACAAAGGCACAGGAAAGCAGTACAAGTTAGCCAAAGTAGCATGCCACATATTCCAACTGTAATATGATTGATTCTTTCTAATAGAAGCATTATGTTCTTTACCACTCTAACTTAACCCTGTGTTAAATTCTTCATTTAAGATACCTGGAAAGTTTGAATCCTTTCAAGGTGACTTTTCTAATCTTCTAAGACAGCTTTGTTTATTTTTTTTCCAGTTTCTTCATGAAATTGCAGAAATGAGTCCTAAAGCATTGTAATTATCAGGTTGCTAATGTTGAGTCTGGTCTTTTAAGTCTCCTTTCCAAAAGTAATTGTTAATGCCCTTTTCTGTTCCATGGGTTTCAAAGGCTTACTTCATTTGGTTATGATTTTTTTTATAGTCTATACTCAAAAAGAATCTAAGCCCTTCAATGCCTCTTCAGTTCTTTGTTGTAGCAGAGAAAAACACATTAACAAACAGAAGAAAATAATTTGTTTGTACAGTATTTTATTCTGCAATTTTCATAGGTCAGGGACTGTAGGGTTGGACTGAAAAAGCTTAAATTTGAGGACCTCATTTAGGCAAATACTTATAAAATAAGTACACTTTCACAAAGTGAAATAGATCGAGTTTTTTCCCCACAGGAAATGCTTGTTTTCCTTGCATTTCATACCTTCTATTTATATTCATAAGTGCCATTTTATATGTTACACATATTTATGCATACAATTTTTTATTGCAGCAGGTTTTTGATGCTACGTGTACCAAAATATCATTAATACTCTTGAAAAGTGTTCAGAGTGAAGTCTGCAAATTGCTTTTTTCTATAAAGCAAATGAAAAATGAAAATTAATTTGTTCCCTTTCTCAATTTCTTTTTCCTCTGCTTTGCTATTACCATGCTTGCATTATGCAACAGACACGTAAGTGTCACACCTTGGTAACTGATTTGGGGACTTTTTAGAATTGGAGGTCCTGTTGTCTCAGCTCTGACTAAGTTAAGATTAAAGCAAAGTCTTTTGCTGATACTGTTGAAGATGAGCAAATTCTATCTCTTTGCTGGCAAGGACCAGAAAGCATCTCTCTGAAGCAGGAGCCAACCCATATTGCAGTCCTAGGGAAGCCCAGGGTTCAGGGAATGGCACTCCTTTAATGAGCTACTTGTGAGAGTTTCTAATTCTGTCTGCTTTGCCTCTGCTTGTGAATGACAATCAACAGAATTTGTCAACATACTAGTAGTGTAATCATTAAATTTTAATTTGTCTAGATATAATGTGTTCTCTGTTTTATGTGTATATTTTACTTTGGAACAAACCTAGTGAGAAAGCTTTTCATAATTGTGTGTATATTTTTTGTGAATATTTCCTAATTACATCTCCAGTGCTTGCTATGAAGTTTACTTGGTCTCATAGGAATTGTTCTCATGACAGAATCATATTTAGGGGAAACTGTTCTCCTTTTTTTTGGTAAAAAAATGAAGTGTAAAACTATATCATGCCTGCATTTAGCATTGAGACACCTTACAGGCATTTTAGAAGTTTGCTAACTTTTAAAGAACACTAGCATGCGGGATTTCAATGTGCAGACACCAGGTACTTGATTGTAATTAGGTGGGAGACTGGCAGATTTGCTTTGAGAAGGCAGTTAAGGAATAATTGTCTGTGTCTGGACAGGATTGTTCCTGGTTACAAACTATCCTGTTCCCTTACAGCTGATGCAAGGTTTTTTTTAATGTAGGACAATTACTGTTTTTATTAATAGTGCTGTCTTGCCCTAAATATGCAAGGTGTCACACAAACATATATGAGAACACAGTCTTTGTCCAAAGTGAACTATAATCAACCTGTACTTCAAAAAATATTTCTTATTATTTAAAAAGGTGAATTTTCCCAAATGGCGAATCTGGTTTAGTAGTTGTTTGATTCTGGTGATCAGGAATGTGTCATGTATATATTTATACATGCAATACTATAAGGACAAAATTGATTGTTTTGGTGTTGAAATGACAAAGATCCATCCACTATTATAGCATCTACTTGAAAAATATTGTCATTTTAGCACTGAAGAAGGGTAGGCATCAATTTTCTCACAAATTTTTGCTTTGGTTTCTTTTTTTGCCTTTCAGAGTGCAAATTCACCTGCGCCAGTGGTAAATGCTTGTATCTTGGTTCACTGATTTGTAACCAACAGAATGACTGTGGAGATAACAGTGATGAAGAGAACTGCCTGCTTGTAACAGAGCATCCACCTCCAGGCATCTTCAGCTGTGAGTATTGGCTCCTTGTGTGCATCCATGTATGTATGTATGTATGTCAAATATGTCTGTTTACCTCAGAAATCAGTCTTTTTGGAAACTTGATCTGCAGTATGATATCAAGGAAGTATGAGACAGAGAAAGTAAATACTATTTTTCTTTGAACAAGCAGGGATTTGTGACACACTTTCCCCAGGATTCTAAACATGGAAATTTGTAGTTATTCCAAGGGAGTTTTTGCTATGGACATTGCGGATATAATCACATGGATCCTATGTGGCCTCTGAGAAAGTGTAATTAAATATTTGTTTTCCAAGATGCTACAAAGTATTCTATGTTCTAAGAGTCTTTATATGCTATTAAGACTATCAAGAAAATTATAGTTTTTCTGTTCCTCATTCCTATTAGGTTTATTGGTGCTGAGATCAGAATTGTTTGGTAGGTTAGTGACCTTTGTAGGTATATATTTAAAATAGCTTTAGTTGCTATTCTTCAGCACATAAGTATTGCCCACACAGTGCCAGAGTTTATGACTAGAATTGTTTTCTTAGTGCTTTGCCCTCAGTCATGTACACTGAAATCAAACTTTGCTTTTGCTTTTGTTTCTTGTGCAATAATTTATTTTTAAACCACAGTTCAGCTTTCTGGATGGGTGATAAATTTTCCAGTAAGGTTTCTTACACACAGGTACAATAGAAATACGTTAAGTTACTTCTTCTTTCCAAATGGTTTTGTTCTTCCCACACTGACATACCTCAGTATTCTATTTCACTTCTGGTTGTTACTATGTTTTAGGAATATCTGTTTTGTTATGTTGTTATTAGTAATAGCAATTATGAGCAGAGTATATTTGTAATTTTTGTAATTAATGCATGCAGCTATAAGCAGGACAGAAGATGAAGCCAGATGTTGGCTATACACCTGTCCTCCTGTACCCTCTACCTCCAAGTGAACATGTTCCTAAATGCTGTACTCTAAATCATTTAAACCTTGTACTCTGTGTTACTTTGATACCTCTGCAGTGATTTCAGTGGCTTTGAAATACTAATGACCTATGTATACTTTTAGGCTATTTCATTTTATTTTTGTTTTAATTTGTTTGGTTTTGAGTGGAACTCTCTTCCAAGTCCCAGGACAAGACATAGGCTTTAGTGATGGGTCCAAATCAAAATGTCACATTCGCCCATAACCTTGGCTTTTGAGCTGTAAAAAGTCACATTTTATTGTTTATTCATGCAAAATTTGTAAGCATATCTGTAAAGTCCAAATAGAAGAATTTTTTTTGACTGGGATATTGTACAGCAAGAGCTCTTAAACCAAGCTAGCACAACTGTTTGTCCAAAAGTGGCCACAAAAACTGCAGTGGTAGCAGATGGAGGGAAGGGCTTTGGTGATGAGCAGCAGCTGTGGCATCACAGGTTCATCACCTGTGCAGTGCAGTGGTGGCACCCTTGAGTTCCTAGGTGGAGCCTCTTAGGTGGAACTCCCAAACCCTTCTTCATCCTGAGGTCTGACAAAGAGGGCACTGGTGGTTTTGCAGTACCCCTTTGTGCTGGTGGCAGTCAAGCAGTAATCAAGTATCGTCTTGGCATCTTCTCCTAAAAAAGGCCTTTGGCCTCTAGAAATATTGTTACTTGCTTGATCCAGGATCTGCAAGCTACCTGCTCTTCCCCTAAGTCACATCTGTCCCCCCCAGTCTTGCTGTAGGTCATGAAGACAGGCCTTCCTGGTCAGCTGGCGAGTCATCCCCCTAGCCTCCAGCACCATCAAATTTATCCTGACCAAACCAAACAAAATGTGTCTCTGAAAAACCTCAGCAAATGTTCTCTACAGCTTTCCTGAGAATTGTAGTTGGTGCATTTCATGATCCTGTCTCTGAAAAGTCATGCAAGTTGGCAGCATTTTTTTATTTTTGGTGGACTTGGAGAAAGATAGTCAGCTTCCTCCTCTAATCAACCTTTTACAGCTGTGAGGGCTGTTATCACCCATGTATGGGTGTTAAAACCCCCCCAACAACCAAGGCAAAACCCCTCAAGTTTGTTCCTATTAATTATGTTTTCTTAAATCTGTCAGAGTGACTGCTTCTAAAATATGGTGTCCAATAGGCCTACTAATTGAGATCTCCCAAGTGCCCAGGGAAGAGGGGTCATTACGTAAAGTCTTATTAAATCTTTCAAGAACTGTATTTGCTGGTTTTGCAACAGTATTGGAAATGAGGAGTTTGTAGAGGAAATTCTAGGAAATTCTGGATACATTACTAGGAGCATTTGGAAACGTTTAACTTTTTGCTCACCTTGTGGCAGATAAAGCAGTTCATTATTTGTTGCATTTGGGGATATTGAAAGTGACTGTACTTTATCATTACAATAGGGACTGTGTGACAAGTGCTGTTAAATAAAGGTACTTCAGTGTTAAGTAAAAAAAAAAAACAACAAATCCCAGTGAAACAGGATCCTAATGGTGAAACAAAGAGAAAAAGAAGATCAAAGCCAGACAGAAAAATAATACAACCATAAACTCTATTTAAATTATATTTACCATGTTCTGGCTATGAAACAGACTACTACATGGTAGAAATCAGTGCCAGATGGTAACAGGAAACAACACTGTTATGGACACGTCAGTTGTGTTGGCTTATTCCAGCTTTGAAAAAATGTTTTTAGAATACTTGCTGAAGTGAGGTCCCCAGGCCTTACAGGGATGACACGTTGAATTAAGAAATGTGTGCATGCTTTTGCTCAATGATTTTAATGGGGATCCCTACCAGATTACACCAGAGTGTGTGCTCTTGAAATGTCCCAGCTGAGCAGGCTGCCTTTCAGGACAGAAGTACATACATTCATTGCTCTCTGAGTAGTAACAAGACATTAATAAGACAGTAACAAGACAGCTCAACTAGAAGAAAATTAGTATTTAAAAAAAAATAAAATTGCTTGAGGAATATTAAACCAGGTATTTCTTTTTGGTCAGTGTTACATATAAGGTTTGTTCTTGCATCTTCTTGCTTGTGTGCAGTTCTTGAATGAGAAAGAAACTGTTGAAAGGAGCCACTTACTAGTTTGTGCTGGTTAACATCCAAGCAGGGTATCCTGTTTCTCCCTGGGACTGCCCTTTTCTTTACCTACAACACATAATCACTACAAGCAGTATGCTGTCCCCTCTGCTGCTTGTTCAAAGAATCCCTTTGCTGTATTCAAACCTTCTATCCTCCTGTGATGGAAAAAATATTCATCTCATTTCAGAGTTATACACAGGCTGTCCCCAAACAATGTCTGAATAAATAAATTTTCATATGAAAGTTTTGCTTTAGTTTATTTAAGCAGTATGTGCCATGTTAGTGGTACCCCGTATTTCCCAGCTGCTGACGCATTTCTCATTTTTGTTCTTGCCAGCAGCCAAATCCAGAATGTCTTGTTGGAGCTTCTTGTTTAGTTTAGTTAAGTTGCATGGGCAATGGCATGGAAAGATTTTCTTTTGTGGGTGACCTGCTCCCTGGATCTCCTGATTATAAGAGATGCTATCTTTATCTGTTAGAGGAGTTCACATCTCCCAGATCTGTTGTTCCTCCCTCCTTGCCATTCTTATATGGCTCCAGTGTGCTAACTGTTCAGTCTTTTAAATCACAGAATGGTTGGGGTGGGAAGGGACCTGAAAGATCATCTAGTTCCAAGCCTTCTGCCATGAGCAGGGACACATACTGGAACATTGCTTTAAAGCCCCATCCAACCTGGCCTTGAACACTTCTAAGGATGGGCCACCCACAATTTCTCTGGGCAGCCTTCTCCAGTGTCTTCCTGCTTTACCTAGTCTAAAACCTATTCTCATTCAGGCCATTCCCCCTTGTCCTATCACTACATGCCCTTATAAGAATGCTGCTACTGAGCTCAACGTCTCACCTGTGCAAAGGAGAAAAAAATGTGTATCTCTGGAGCCCTTTGGTTGTCTTAATTTTCCTTTGCTGACTTATATGTAGGGCTGCCTTATGCTGCTGTGTGGGCGATTCATTCTGTATAGCACAGAGAAATTGGAGGACAGCTGGGAAAATCCAAGGTGTGTTAGAGTCTGATTTTAGATGGCACAAGCTGCAGTCCAGCAAGTTGATCAAAATACATGCTAAGGCATTTAAGCTGAACATATTAAGGTATCAGCTTGCTTGGTTTGCACCAGGATGCAGGTTTGGTGATGCATGTTGAAGCACACCTCCCGTCCTCGGTGAGGACACCCAGTGCTACTACATCTCTCCCTGCAGGTCGCCTTGTGCATAGCCCATGTCAGCTTTCAGTAGGGCTACTTCTTTTTGTTTTCATCAGCTGTAAGGACTTATTGATTGAGATAATGGAGATGACTGTTCTTTTAAGACTACTTGGAGGTCAAGGGTGTATTTAACAGCACAAAGCCATGATAGGAAAAATGAGGCAAAGAGCAGGATTTTTAACATTGCAGGCTTGGCCCTGGCAGCAGCTTGCCACTCCATGTGACCTGGAGAATTTGGACTCCAAAGAACTGAAACAATGTGCCTGCCTCTAGAAGGACACAGTTCATTTGTTTGAGCATTTCCCTTTGTTTCACAACAAACGATCAGCCTGCCTTGTCCTGCTAAAAGTAAATTAGATTTTGAAATGGGACGCGTAGTTTGTTGTCTGCAGACTGCAGTGTCCAAGTCACGTCTTACTGAGAAGGGTTGTGGTGATGGGGATTTTAGGGTTTTTAGTTGTTTGGTGGAAACAGTACAGGTAGTTGTCTTTGCTGTGGTCTGTATGTGTTTGTGGGCATATCAAACACAAATATTGACACGCTTGAGACTTTATGGAAGAATAAAATAAGTGAGAACAAATCCTTCTTGTCATGTGCAAATTATGTCTACATCAAATTTCAATGAGAAGGGTTGTGGTGATGGGGATTTTAGGGTTTTTAGTTGTTTGGTGGAAACAGTACAGGTAGTTGTCTTTGCTGTGGTCTGTATGTGTTTGTGGGCATATCAAACACAAATATTGACACGCTTGAGACTTTAT